GACACCTAAAGAACTGACATTTAAAACCAGAAGACTAGTCTATGTTCACCAGCAGACATGAATGCTTCTGGTGTGATATTCTAGGGAAAAAAAAAAAAACACAGAAAATGCTGCTTTGGATTCTTAATTCCTTAATTCCTTGTCTTGCATATATTTTGTCTGAACATGCCTTTGGCAGCTCAGGTCTAGAAAAGTCTTGGACCAATAAGTCTTGCTGTAATAAGCACTATAAGCACAGTAACCTATTTCATTCTAGATTTATTGACTTGTTAGCCTAATAGATAGAGCTTGAATATTTATGAGCCCTTTCCTTGCTCAGGGATTTGGATCCTGTTTAATATTAAAATATATGATTCTATAAAAATATAAACACACAAGAAAGCTCTCTGAACTGGGAGTTTGTACGTATAGACACTAGGCACAGATATATAAACACAAACATATAAACATACCATGCAGGGATGTTGCGCACACACTCAGGTGCCCATCCCCACATATGCACAAATAATCTAAAAAGACAGCAATTAAAGCTTTAGAGTCCTCGCTTCTTCCATGCCATGACTCCAGGCAAACGTTACCTTAGCTGATGTTTTGGCTAAAATGTCTTGCAGTTCCATAATTTTCTGCACAAGCCCATGGAAGTCATTACAAGTTGGGCATGCTAGAACAACAAAATATGTATATTAATAAAAACCCAAACAAACCATGTATTCACAATAGGTTCAATCATATCAAAGCTGACAACCAATACACTGAAACTCAAGGTTTTTAAGAAAGCTTGTAGGACAGAAAGTAGGTACAAAGCACACCTTTATTTTATGGTATAAGAATTAATAGACTTACTGCGATTAAGATCTGGGCATTGAGAAATAAATCCTTGAGGCATGACAAGTAATTGCACATCTTGCATTATACCCTGTGTGTAAGTGGAGAGAAAAAAAATGATATGTTATTTTTACCTGTCAAAATCATGTTTTCCATTCACCGTGTAAAACGTTAAAGCCCACACAGAAAAGACGCCTGATAAAAACAATACTTATGAATACACAGCTTCTTGCCTGGACCCAATGCAGTGATACAAGAATAAACAGAAAGCAAAATAGATAGATGTGCAAATACAGACATACTGAATCATTTTTAAAGACATAAGATTAAATGTCAAGATGTAATTACGTGCCAAGAGTTTGGTTGTTTTGAATTCATTGTTATTTTTAGTCAGCCATTGCAGAAAAGCTTGAAAATGACCTTTAAAAGTAATTTGAAAAACAGTTGCAGTTTCAGTTACCTTGAAACACTCTTTTAAATAAAATGCAAATTCTTTACTAAGCTGAAACTGTCAAATAGAAGTGAAGATTAAAGAAACCTGAGTCAGGAAAAACACATTCATGCAAACCTTTATGATTGCGATGGGGATCTTTCTGTCAAGCATGCAGAACCCCAAGAAACTACATGTCGGTTACACAGCTGCAGAGTCGTATGTTGGCAAGAACTTAGAGGAGGCGTAGCATGAAATCCAACTGTGCCATCTGGAAAGGGCCGGTTTCACCCAGAAGAATAGATCCCATGCTTGCAGGCAGAATTTACATGCATCCTTAGTCATTAAGATGTCATTAGTAGCCACTTTGCTGGTCTCCAAAAGCAAAAGCCAAATAGCAATTTCAAAGTCACCCATCCTATCATATTCACTCCAGATGTCCCTTTCATCCATGACTCCCTCCCTGCATCTCCAAAACTCCTTCTTAGGAGGAAAACCAAAATAATTACAACATGCTTCAGTGTGCTTATAAAAAGAAAGTTTCACAACACTAAGAACACAATGCAAACTAAATGCAGAAGTCCACATTTCATCCACATACGCAGGGCATTCAATACAGATGTCGCAAAGCCAAAGAACCAGAATTTTGACCTCAAGTGAATGACTCGGGGTGACTTAGCAACCTAAGTGACCTGCAGAGAAGAGCAGGTGTCACTGCAGGGCCCCTAACAGGGTACTTCCATACCATGCCTACCCTTCTCCCTTAACAACACAGCTACGATCTAGGGCAACAGGACCCTCCCCACGCTGCACAAGGAGCTGTGGTGATCAGCTATTAGTAAAAAAAACAGGTGTGCTTGAGACAGGGCTCCACGCCAGAACCTCCCACAGCATGTGTTGCAGAAGTCAGGAGCAAAGACCGCTTTGAAGAGCACACCAAAAACCTCACAGTATTAATTTCTCTCCCCTTCTTTCCTCGTGTCATCAAGTTCAAACTCATGTCAGTCCAAGTTACGGCATCTTCATGGAAAGGAGGAATGGCAGGGTCCAACCCATTCAAGTTTAAAACACACACCACTGAACACACAGGCAAGTATTCAAATAATTTAGCTGTTAGCCAACAGCAAAGCTCCTCCAACTATTTGAGGACCTTTATTAATCACAGATCAGCTGTGATGTGAGCTGGACTCTGCCACTCACCAAGAATTCAGGTTCCTGCTCATTCTCCCAAAGTAACAACAGGGAGCCGTGACACCCAGCCCACCCGGGCTCTCAAATCAGGACCTCCTGACTACACCAGAGGCTTTGCACCGGCTCCTGAAGAACCCAGTGGTTCCAATTAACACACCGCGGGATGCACGTACCAAGAGCAGCCACATGGTACCAGCAATCAGAGCGCCAGAACTGCGCTGGTATATATACAACTATATCCCAGTGTGAATATGCCTGCTGGCACACCGGTTTAGTGCAGCAATACTAGCTTCAAAAATCAAACACAGCCAAATAAAATTGGTTTTGGAGTGACTAATGATTTTGAGTACCTTGACCCGTCTGGACTGCTCAAAGCAGCCTGATTTTTGGAAATAGCTAAGCACCTGAACCTCTCAAATTCAGATCAGCAGGAGTTTTCCCACAGTGAGCACCTAAAAATATAGGCTCTCCAAAACACTAAGAAGCATTGAAAGTCCTCATCTTCTAAACTGATGAATCTCCTGTATAGCAGTGTCATATTTGCAGATGCAGTTTGACCACTGGTACTATATCATGCTGGAGAAATCACTGTGCACAGTATATTTTGGCTATATTGATGCTCTTTTAACAGCTATCCATTTCTGTATTTCTGTTGTAACCAAGGCAAAATCCTCCATGTATTTTGTTCAATTTTATCTTTCTTGAAAAGAAACAAACAAAAAAAATGCAGTCCACTACTGGGGTATTTCGTTTTCTACACCTAATGAGCTTCTTCGCAGTGACTATGATTTGGCAAAAAGAATATAATAAAGTCAAAAACTGAGAAGGCACCAAATAAATACAAGGAATATTTAAAAGAGTATTAATTATAAGCACGTAGGATAAATCAAGTGTATCTGAGATCAGTCTAAGCAATGCATTAATATTTTCTGATTTTATTCTTGGAGTCAACTGTTTATTTAAGCCAGAAATATAATTTTTCAGCTTGGCTAGCAGACATCCTCTTAGTCTTCCTGAGGAAGAGGAAACACATATTGAATTGAAAAATAAAAACAAAGTCACGCTTCAGCTTTCAAATCAGAGTGCCCCACTGGCCCTCTGCATTTCATACACAACAAGGATATAAATTAGCACTTAAGTAGAGCAAATAGTATTTCAACATCCAAAACCTGATTTTAGCACCAAAGCACAGAACTTACTATGAAAACCATAGTCAAAGTGTTTTACGCTGAAACAAAGATTTAGAAGGCCGTATTTTAAAAAGTGATTGGGTCTGTGATCTACATCATCCATCCTGTTTTGCAGCTCAAGTAAAGAGATGCCTACTGGGAGGAAAATGGGAGTGCGGTGGGGAAGGCAGCCTCAGGGATGCCATCGTTTGTTAACGCAGCGCCAGACAAGACAGAGGCCAAAGCACAGAGAGCGGCCGTGACCAAGGAGTGCTACCCAATGGACTCCGAGGAATCAAAATTGACACTCTAGTTCAACATAGCATTCACTTCTTCCATCTTGCTACACACCAGGTGCTTGATATATATATATACACACACGTTAAAGCAGAAGCAGTAAGCAAAACATAGGTACAAACAGCCTTCCTCTGGGGGAAAAAGCACTCTCTTCATTGATGCCAGTCATCTCATTCATTTCTGAGCTGAGAAGATATTGTGATGAAATCTAAATCCTACAGAGGCCATGAAATTGGGAGTTCTCAGGACTATAATGTTCTGTGACACACACAAAAATGCATCTAGCTATGAAACAGAGAATAACCTGACCATTTATTTCCTGGAATTCCACCGCACTTGGTCATTTACCTTCCCCCGCCTTAGGCTGCTGTTGGCTGTGTCATTTAGTGACACTGAGCCCTGTGCAGCTGGCTCTGCGACTTTATTCGGTGAAGTCCAGCTGGGTGGAAACACAGCTCACTGCATCAGATATGCTGATACACACCCCACCACGGCCCCAGGAGCTGTGGCCCCAGTACAGAAGCACATACTGGTTGTGGCTGGGAGGCACCTCCTGAGA